CTTTTCCAGAATCTTCGCCTCCGAACTGATAGGATCGCCGCTTTCCTTAACTTCGTCACGTACATCTATCGCATCGGCAAGGAGTAAACTGCGGCTAGTGTGGTAGTTTTTGAGGAAGTACGGCAGCCCATTGTTCACAAACGAAGATTTTATTATATAAACCATTATCTCTCTCTTCGGAATACGTTATAGAATACCCAGCTACTTCATCAAATGGGTTTTCACACATACATATATCTCCTCCTCTCCTGGTGGAGCGGTAGCACTCAGAAAACCTGCAACCAACTTTGCCTGAAGGGAAAGATAAACAAACAGCTGTGAGGGACTAAGACGGGGTAATGGGTTGCCGATAGATGATGATGGGAAATTACAGGAGATTTCCTCAGACCCTTATTGTAGACCATGCAAGAAGCTTCCCAACCCCCTGAAGAAGTCTCAGTAAAAAAGATAATATAAGACTCAGCCTGTGGGAAATGAAACACTGGGTCTTGAATGTATTATAACATAAAAAAATGACAGAAGGGACAGTGACACTATAGGATGGCCTTCAGGCTATAGGAAAAGGGGGACCTCTTATAGAAAGTATCTATATCCTCATCCCTGCATCGCAATTTTGTCTGAGATCAACTCGTCCTCCCAGTAATTGGAAACCTTGATTCTCATTTCCTTTCCAAGTTTGCTTGGATCCGACCCAGATATCACATTTGTCAGCAGAAGTGTTGATCCCTGATCCTCAAAGCAAACTGGGGAGAAAAAATAGCCACCACAGCCATCAAAATACAGAATCCACTTGTGGTACTGCCACACCGTCCGCCGGTGTGCAATCGTGATGACGGAGATTCCCATATTCCGGCAAGTAGTGTAGAAAAGCCGTTCGACATCCAAGTCTACCAAACTGCTGCACTCATCCAGAATCGCGAATCGTGGGCCGTGAAAGAACAGGCATGCCATCGCTAGCCTCTGCTTCTCGCTCATCGAGAGAACGGTGCTGGATTTTGACAGCTTTGTGTCCCATGATATCTCCGGATTTTCAAAAATATAGTCCAATCCAGCAAGCTGCAGGTACTTGTACAAGTCCGCCTCACTCACATCGGCATTCTTCCGTTTTATGGGGTATATCAGCTGTTCAAATAATGTCCCGTCGTGTATATATGGCCGCTGAGGCATGTAACTCAGGTGTTCCTGCGCAGGTTTGATGATGCGGCCGCCGTAAAGAGGCCATAGCTCTCCAAGGAGACGAAACGTCGACGATTTGCCGCACCCGTTCGGCCCCATGACCAGCACATTCATTCCAGGCTTCACAAAGAATGAAAGCGAAGAACATAATATTTCACCATTAGGAAGAGTTAGTGGAACGTCAATGAACTCAATGTGATCCCCACGTACGATGCGGCCATGGGCGGTAGGAAAAGATGGTTTTGAATTGTCCTGGTCCCCCAGCATTGGGGCATTCTTGGCAACTGGGGAACAATACGTGAGATTCTGCATTAGATCCGCCTTTCTCTCCACCTCCTCAAGACTCTCCATGAGGTACGACAGACGTTGGGTGTACCCGCTAACCACCAAAAAAAGCTTCACGTTTCCAATTAGACGATAAACCGACTTGGCGAGAATATGATAAGTATAGCTGGTTTCCGAGTAGATAGCTGTTAGGTCGGCAACCGACGCCTTCGGCCCTGTACGGAGGAGAGAAAGAAAAGATACCAGGTAACCTACTACGCGTGAGCCGTACAGTGTGTAGAGCCGCTCCAGCATCACAAAACGCGTCTGCAAATAGCACTCATATCTGTCATGATCCGCAATATCGGCCGCAAGGAGGGAATGAATTTTTTTACGATACTGAACCCCATTACTCAAGCAAATTTCCTCTGCGTATGACAAAACCTCCTGGATGGATGAGCGGAATCGTGCCTCCTTCTCCATGCGTTGTTCTATTAATTCGTCCTGGTTTGGAGCGTGGTTTAGGAGGAGATATAGAAATCCGATGTAATATCCCCAGACAAGGGAGGGGCCAGCATATCCCGTCTGTCTTCCCAAGAAGTAAGAAAAGGTGACAACCTCGCACAAAGGCCGCGTTATGAATGTGAATAAACGCGCAGAAACAGCAGACCAGCTCTGGATATCATTAGTGAGGTAATGATCGACATGATTGATCTCGTGAAGTCCGGCAAGACGAAAGAAAACTTTTCGAGTTATATAGCGACGATGAAAGTGAGTGGTTAAGTTTTGACGGAAGCACAGCTCCAGAACCTCCCTATAGTAGTCCAGACTGGTGTTAAGCAGCGCTGCTGGAATGCAAGCTAAAAAGAATAAAAGAATGTCCCTGAAAAGGGAGCGCTTGTTGCACTCAATAACCGTTCGGCCTAACCGCCCCATCATTTTTGCCAGATTTACCGATACCACCGTACGCAAAATCATGAAGATGCTTAGGATAAAAATAATGCCTGTCTCTTTGGACCTCCAGGAAGGTATTGCGATGCGTAACAAAGAGATGAAGTTTGTAACACTACGAGACTTTGGGAAGGAAAGTATCCGCCTTGTCGATTCGATAATATTTAGAAAAGACACCATACCATAGTTGACCGTGGGAGATGGAGGCCGCTTCGAAACCAATTCGCGACCTGAATCGGTGGCATATCCAGCCACTAACAGGGTAAGTGCACCGCTCACCCAACCGATCAAAAAGGGGTTATGCAGGCGCAACTTTGCATATTCTGCTCCGTAATCACAGACAGCAGCCATAGATTTGCTGTTAATTTTATAAAAGTAATCTAATAAAGAAATATATTCACACAAACTATGATTTGCTGACTCCAAGGTCGTGCCCAGGGAAATTTATGCTTCAAAATATATTAGGTTTTTCCGTTATTTTATTAAGATCTATGCGTTTGATAGCTTTCGCTGATACACCTATTTGTTTGAGATCAAGTGGTGTCTATTATTCTTTGAAAAAGAAAGTGTGGGAGCTCTTGATACACCGAGCAAGCATAAACCAAATGTAGAAATCCATCGTCAACCAAAAGGAAATTAATGAAATAGGAGGAAAGAAACTTGTGAAAAAAAGCAGTGCGATATGCAAACTCATAGACATTGAGGATGATCGAGGTTGACTTTTAGGAGTATTCTCTCTCTTCATGGATCTCTTTTAATATGGGAGACGCCACCTTTATATGGGCACAGTCAGCAACAGTCTAACAACAACAACGCAAGTGAAAAAATCAATGTATACAAAGCTGGAAGGCTTGCTGAAAGAAATTAGAACGATAAAATAATAAAAATCAATTTCTATGTATATATTACTCATTTCTCCCCTTAATAATGTAGGCTTATAAACTTGTTCGGATGCTTACCGTACGCAAAACTAACCTCACTTTCCACAAGCAATCGATGAGTTCAACGGCTAGGGGACGGCGCACATCAGCAAAAGTACGCACACAGAGGATACCTTGACGTTACACATACGGCTTGTACAACTATAATTATTGGCTTTAGAATCAGACACATTGAGCGACGCCCAGGACGTTCACGGTGAGATGAATTTTAATCGCACACACCCCTCTGATCAGTATAGAGAGTATTGATGTGGGGTGGTATTGTGGATTTTTGAAGGCACTTCACCTGAAACATGATAGGTCGCAATGGCAAACCTTAGTCAACTTGTGAAAAACACTAGTTTATCAGGAACGTATAAAATTACAAATATGAGGAGAACTCATAAATCCATATCCATCCTACTTCAAAATTTATAAATTGGGTGGATTAGAATGACTTATTATAAAAATTAGTTCAAAGGGTAGCAAAAATGCTGTGAGAGGGGTCTTGAGGAGCATTTCAGCCTCCTCGAGCTCCTTGGATATCCAAGCCTGCGATAGTCCTAACTCTATTCTTGAATACAATACAAAGTCATTATTAATGGTAACAAGGGCAAAGATATTAGAGGAAAGCACAGACTCTTATTAAGAGTCGATGAAGACCTGCACTAAAGAAAAGGAATCAAGACAAATTTAGTTTTAGAAAATCCAACACTGAAGGTCTACATGCACGATGAAAATGCATCTCCTATACCCATTCAATACGCACTGGACAAAGGGAACTAGGCAAGACCGTTTCCGGGGCTCCCATTTTTTTTGTTTTCTATGCTACATAATAGCGCCTCCAAATGTTCTCGATACACAACGTTATCCTTGTACAGCTGCAGTATTTCCTGTTCAGAGACTTCATTCGCAACCATGGAAAGAGGCATCGTGTTCTTAGGGATAGGTGCCTCCGCAGACAAGATGTGATCCACAAACGTCTCCATAACCATCGAGTTCGCCGTGAAGTAGCCTATAGAAGGGGATGAGTAAAACTCTTTTTCCTCATCGAGTAATTGATCAAGCAAACGGTTTCGAGTGGTCAAAAGTGCCTGGACCAAGCAATAGCTCGATGACTGCGAAAGGATACGAGAAACCAATAGTAAGAGGGGAAGCACACGGCCATCGAGGTGGCTTAGCAAGCGCCTCGCAGAGGACACCACGGTTTGGCTCTCATCATTCCCCATCAAAGTTCGCTCACATGCAACTAAGGAACTCTCCATGGCAGTGGTATGATCAAAAAAGCTCACCTCTTGAGAAAGCATTAAAAAGAGTTCAAGCAAGGATACAACAGAAATGAAGTCCACAGTGGAGAGTCCATTCGCCTCCGCATCTTTCAACTGAGCGCCGCACGAAATCATAAAGGCTTGCTGAAACTCCACTGATTCACCGCAAAGCAAGTGATGAACCATAGCTATGGGATCATGGCCCTCACTATGAGGCACAAAGGACATCAGTGTACCTTCATGCAGATTTTGAGAGTGACATATACTACTCTCGACATGTTGAATCAATTGCTTCACAAAGCCCCACCGGCATAACGACTCATCGCGTAGATTGGCTTCCCCCTCGTAATTGACGGGGCGGCCGAGCAGCTGAGAGAGGCCCGCCACTGCGGCAACCCACTTCTCACCGAAAGTCGTTCCCGTGCGTTCCAAAACACCGGATTGGAGCACTAGCGCACCGAACAAACGCGATGCGTTGGCCGCCTGTTTATCTGAGCAGTAGAGCGGGCTGGTTTGTTGCTGCACCCGGTATACATTCTGCAGCTGCAAGAGAAAACGATCCCAGAGGGCGAAGGAGGGGGTTCCGGGCGGAGCCAGGCCAAGGGCCTGCGCCAGGTTCAGCCCCACGCGATAGAGCGGATCCCCCGACGCCTCCAGCTGCGAGGGTTCCTCGTCAGGGCGAGAAGGCTGCGTGAGCGCAGCGACCACCTCGTCTAGATTCCACCACGAGGATGGTAGTGGCGGCGTCAGGTAGGTAGCCATCGCGACATCTCCATCTGCATTGGAATCTTCGCCTAAAACTACTGGATCAAGCTCCAGCCATTGCACTGAGATCGGGGGAAGCCGCGGTGGTAACTCCACGTGCCCCGCCTCGGCCGATGGGCTAAGAAGCGGCAGCTGGTCCTGCAGCTCCCCAACAGTACACACTTCACAAGGCAGCTTGGCTTGAGCATCAGTTAATGCGCTATTGCGCTGAAGCCTGTCGTGCAACAAATCGATCTGCAGACCCAGACTTGTAAGACACTGTATAGCCCTGAGAAGTTCTTTGTGTAGTATGGAAGGGTCGTCGTGGTCATATTTCTCCGCATCATCAACGATTGGAGCACACACGTCGTGTGAGGCACATTCACCGGATCCCACTTGAGCTCCGACAGGAGCTCCTTCAATATCGTCTAATAATGCCTGCAGGGAGGTGGCCTTTTCCTCAAGAGATTTTACTTGTGCTTGCAACTGTGACAGGTCTAGCACCATTGTCGATGTCATCAACCCAACACTGGAGCCCGGTGGCGTCCCGTCAAAGTTTCTGACCTCTCCACTAACCGGTACCGCCGCATCGCTTTGGCACTCCCTTTCCCGCTCCCATAGCTGCTTAGTCAAGGCATCCACATGCGACTCAGCATCCAGCGCCACTTGTTGAGCCACTTCAAGACTAGCTTGTAAGTCTACAAACAAGACGTAAAAAGCATTTACGCCCCTTTGCTCATCCAGCTCTATCAACAGTCGTTCCTCACGTTCAGAACTCATCAAGGCAGAAATATCGACGAGCCTTTGAAGGTCCAACATGGTGGACTGATCTGTACAAGGAGCCGCTGCCACAGCAGTATCACCTATTTTCTCTTGGCCCGAAAGCTGCTCCAGGAAGTCGTCATTTTGTTTGTGTTCCTTTGCGATCAACTGTTCCTGATGCAATGCCTCAAGCTCTTTCATGAAACCCAAGCGTTCCCCCTCCACACTCGCAAGACGACTTTCAGTTTCCACTAACTGACACTGGAGCCGCTCCATTTCGTGTACGTGCTCCATCTCATCCGCCTT